GGAGCTGGAGGCCATCAAGGCCCGGGTGAGGGAGATGGAGGAGGAGGCGGAGAAACTCAAAGAGCTGCAGAATGAGGTGGAGAAACAGATGAATATGAGCCCTCCACCGGGAAATGGTGAGCAAAAAACACAAAAATTAACCCAAAATATGAAAAAAACGACCCCAGAAACCCCAGAAGCAAAAAAAACCCGGTTAAAATTGGAGGAAATATGGAAAAATGGCAAAAAAGGGAAAAAATTTTAAAAATTGGCTCAAAATGGCCCAAAATTGGCTCAAAATGGTCCAAAATTGGAAAAAAAGGGGACAAATGCCAAAAATTGGAAAAAAAGTCTCAAAATGGCCCAAAACAGGGAAAAATTGAAAAAACTTTAAAAAAAACGGGAAAAAAGGGCAAAAATTGAAAAAAAATTGGAAAAAAAGGCCAAAAATTGAAAAAAAATTGGAAAAAATTGGGGAAAATGGTCCAAAATTGGAAAAAAAATGGCTCCAAATGGAAAAAATTGACCCAAAATGGCGAAAAATGGCCCAAAATTGGAACAAAATTGGATCAAAATTGAAGAAGAATTGATCAGAATTGAGAAAAAATGGCCCAAAATTGGGGAAAAAAAGGCTGAATTTGGTTGAAAAATCCTAAAATTGGTAAAAAAATTCCCAAATTTTGTTTAAAATTCCCCATTTTTATATTTTTTTTTAAAATTTTTTTCTATTTTTTCAGCTGGCCCGGTGATCATGTCTCTGGAGGAGAAAATGGAGGCCGACGCTCGCTCCATCTATGTGGGAAATGTGAGAGAAAATAACCCAAAATAACCAAAAAATAACTCAAAAATACCTTAAAATATTGCTAAAATATTCCTGAAATATTCCTGAAAAATTCACAAGGATTTAGGAAAAAAAATCCAGAAAAATTGGAAAAAAATCCCCCCAAAAATAACAAAAAAATGGCTCAAAAAGGCTCAAATATGGCCCAAAATATTCCCAAAAATTCCTCCAAAAACCCGCCAAAAAATTCCCCAAAAATTCCTAAAAATCCTCCAACGTCCCAAGAAAGAAACAAATCGGAAAAAAACTTTAAAATTCCTAAAATTATTTTGAAAAATAGGGAAAAAAAACAGGAAAACAAAAGCGAAAAAATCGCGAAAAATCGCGAAAAAAACCTGAAAAAAATGGGAAAAAATTCCCAAAAAATTTCCAATAACTCCTAAAATAGAAATTTGATGTTTTTATGATAATTTGGGTTTAATTTAATTTATTTTTAATGATTTTTTCAGGTGGATTACGGCGCCACGGCCGAGGAGTTGGAGGCGCATTTCCACGGCTGCGGCTCCGTCAACCGCGTCACCATCCTGTGTGACAAATACAGCGGCCACCCCAAAGGGTAATTTATGCAAATTTATGCAAATTTAGGATAATTTATTCAATTGGAATCATTATTAGGGTTCAAGGTTTAATTTGGGCAAAAACATCCCCAATTTTCCCCCATTTCCCCCCGATCTTTTAGCGATTTTTCCCCATTTTTTTGTCTTTTTTTTTCTGATTTTTGGGTGATTTTCCCTCAATTTTTCCTCAATTTTTCCCCAATTTTTCCCCAATTTTTTGTCATTTTTTAGCAATTTTTGACCCAATTTTTTGGGATTTTTCCCAATTTTTCACCATTTTTTGGGAATTTTTCCCCTGATTTTTTGTGATTTTTTGGGGGATTTTTTCTCAATTTTTCCCCCATTTTTCCCCCATTTTTTCTTTCCCCATTTTTTCCCCATTTTGTCCCATTTTCCCCATTTTTTCCTCATTTTCCCCACAATTTTTCCCAAAATTTTCTCAAATTTTCCCCCATTTTTCCCCATTTTCTCCCGAATTTCCTCCCCCAACCCTCATTAACCTCTCCCACCCATTTTTTGGGTTGAAAAATCCAAATTTTGGATGATAAACCCCAAATATTTTGTGGAAAACCCGAAATTTGGGTTAAAAAGCTTCAATTTTGGGTGAAAACCCCAAATTTTGGGTTGAAAAACCCAAATTTTCGGTCAAATCCAAAATTTGAGAAAAAATTCTCAATTTAGGGGCAAAACCCCCAAATTTTGGGGTGAAAATCCTCAATTTTGTGTTGAGTAAACCAAATTTTGGGGTGAAAAATCCAAATTTTGGGTCAGACATTCCAAATTTTTTGTGGAAAACCTCAAATTTTGGGTTTTTCAGGTTCGCCTACATCGAATTCTCAGATAAGGAATCGGTGCGGACGTCGATGGCGTTGGACGAGTCGCTCTTCAGAGGGAGACAGATCAAGGTCAGCAGCCAAAAATTCCCAAAAATTTCCCAAAATTCCTACATTTTCCTGATTTTTCCCAAATTTTCCATGATTTTCAGGGATTTTCCCCCATTTTTTTGTGGTTTTTTTCTGATTTTTTGTGATTTTTTTGGTGATTTTTAGCGATTTTTGGGTGATTTTTTGGTGGTTATTTTCTCTGGTTTTTCCCAAATTGTTCTCAAATTTCTCCAAAATTTTCCCAAATTTTTTTCTCCATTTCTGCCCTGTTTTCCCCCAAAATTTTTGCCATTTTTTTTACCAGTTTTTGTCAAGTTTTCACCGTTTCTCCCCATTTTGTTTCCCAATTTTCCCAAATTCCCCATTTTTCACCCCAAATTTCCCTTCCAGGGGGTTTTAATTCCAATTTTTTCTTTTTTTTTACTCTTTCTCCCCCATATTTTCCTCTATTTTCATCAAATTTTCACCGATTTTCGTCAAATTTTCACCGTTTTTCTCCATTTTTTTTCCCTTTCTTTCCCAATTTTCCCAAATTCCCCATTTTTCACCCCAAATCTCCTCCTCAGGTGATTTTAACTCCAATTTCTTTCTTTTTCTCATCTTTACTCCCCCATTTTTCCCTCAATTTTCGCCATTTTTTCCCCATTTTTTGTCCGATTTTCACCATTTTTTCACCGATTTTCCCCATTTTTTTCCCCAAATTTTCCCAATTTTCCCAAATTCCCCATTTTTCACCCCATTTTCCCCTCTCCAGGTGATCCCCAAGAGGACGAACCGGCCCGGGATCAGCAGCACCGACCGCGGGTTCCCCCGGGGCCGATTCCGGGGGCGGGGCCAGGGCGGCTTTGGCTCCGCCCGCTCGCGCTTCTACAGCGGCTACGCCCGGCCCCGGGGGCGGGGATACAGGTGAGACCCTAAAAATTAAAATTTTGGGCAATTTTGGGTCATTTTGGGACTTTTTTCGAATTTTTTTTTGCTTTTCTTTGGGCGTTTTTAGAGCGAAATTTGAGTTTTTTACGCCATTTTTTGCGTTTTCCAGGTGAGTTTTCGGTTGGTTTTAGAATTTTTTCCAAGTTTTTTTTAGAGTTTTTGGGATATTTTGGGATTTTGAGTCACTTTAGGATGAATTTTGGGCATTTGGGATTTTTTTCGGATTTTTTTTGGGTCATTTTAAGGCGATTTTGGGGCTTTTTTTGTAGCGTTTTTAAGGCGCAATTTTGCGTTCTCCAGGTGAGTTTTGGGCGTAGTTTTTGGGGTTTTTTTGAAATTTTTGGGGAATTTTTTGGATATTTTGGGAATTTTCAGGATTTAGGATGGATTTTGGGTGGTTTTGGGATTTTTTTCAGATTATTTTTGGGTCATTTTAAGGTGATTTTGGGTCCTTTTTCGCGACATTTTCAGAGCGCGTTTTCCGTTCTCCAGGTGAGTTTCTGTGACCAAATTTTGGGAATTTTTGGGGGGTTTTTTTCAGATTTTTTGGGAAATTTTAGAAGTTGTTAGGATTTGGGATGAATTTTGGGTGATTTTCAGAAATTTTGGGGATTTTTTTGGGTCTTTTTTGGGTGATTTTAAGGCGATTTCGGGTCCTTTTTCGCGACATTTTCAGAGCGCGTTTTGCGTTTTCCAGGTGAGTTTTGAGATGATTTTGGGAATCTTTTTAGGACTTTTTATGAATTTTTTGGGAAATTTTGGGATTTAGGATCATTTTTTGGGAATATTTGGATGTTTTGGGTTTTTTGGGGGGATTTTTTGGGTGAGTTTTTGGTGATTTTAGGAACTTTCCGCAACTTTTTTTTGAGCATTTTTAAGGCGCGATTTGGTCAATTTTGGGTCATTTTGGGTCAATTTCAAAAAATTTTGGTTGAGATTTGACCAAAGTTGCATCAATTTCGACCACTTTTGGTCAATTTCGGTCAATTCTGCATCAGTTTTGGGTGAGTTTTGACCAATTTTGGGTCAATTTTTGGCAATTTTGGGTCAGTTTTGATCATTCTGGGTAAATTTGGGTCAATTTTGGGTAATTTTTGGCCAAATTTGGTCAATTTTGGATCAATTTTGGGTGAATTTTCTTCATTTTGGTCAATTTTGATCATTCTGGGCCAATTTCGGGTGAATTTTGACCATTTTTGGCCAAATTTGGTCAATTTTGGGTCAATTTTGGTCAATTTTGGGTGAAATTTGAGCACATTTGGGGTCAATTTTGACCATTTTGGGTTAATATTGGGTCAATTTTTCCCAAATTTGACCATTTTTGATCATTTTTGGTTCAATTTTTTCCAACTTTGCTCAATTTTGGGTCAATTTTCCTCAATTTTGGGTCAATTTCACTGTTTTTTATTAATTCTCCCTTTTTTTCCCGATTTTCTGTAATTTCTCCCCGTTTTCTCCGCAGGGGCCGATCCCGCGCCACCTCCTGGTATTCCCCGTACTAAAAACCACCAAAAATCCTCAAAAAACCCC